TTTTTTTTTTTTTTTTTTTTTTTTTTTTTTTTTTTTTTTTTTTTTTTTTATTTAATATATCTTCAAGTTGCTCAAATTGTTTGCAATAAATTCATCGGAATTCTTTGCTTTGGATTCGCTTGTTGATTCACGCTCTATGAGCCCAGTGGATGTTTTGACCCATGCCTAAATTGAATAACAGCTGAATGGCTTGCTGTATGGCAAGACTATATGATACCCTGTAGATTGTTTTTAGTTGCGGAAAAACAAAAATAAAAGATGATAAAACTCTAAATGAGAGACTAGAATTTATGCTAAGATAGCATTCGAATTCTTTAATATTACAAATCCCTCATCAACTGATTTACTTAACTCAACATCATATTGTATAATAAAATTGAAAATATAAGCTTTATATATTTTTCATAAAAAAATATTAAATATAAATTAATATATAATAATATATATAATAAATTATATAAAAATTATATAAAAAAAATAAATTATATAAATTATAAATTATATATATATAATAAATTAATAAATTGATCTTAACTAGCTGAAATGTTCTTGTAATGCGAATTCACTCAAAGCCCTATTCAACCTATTAGAATGATACAACCGAGTAGTTTTCTATATACGCCGATCCAAGCACGCACCCAGCTGCACAGCACGCAAATTGGTGTCATGCATGTCAAACGTAATAAAGCATGCCAACGATTAGGCCTGGATGAAATGCGCAATTCCGCATGCAGCTTGTAGAATGTGCCAAAGTACAGGCCTCTTACATGGGCAAATTAGCGGCACGCTTCGATCTCGCAGCCAATAAAAATTACATCAAGCTGCACTCAAGAGCGAAACACACACAACTTCTAATCGATATAGGAGATTGACGAACTTAAGGCCCACTCACATGATTATGCCAAACAATAGTAGCTAAAAATAGATAACAAAAAACAATTGCTCAAATTGTCGTTAGATTTTGTTTTTAGATTTCTTACTCCGTTCCGCACATTAAACAGTTTAAATATCGCCGCACGAGATGTCGCTTGTTGGCAATTTGTTGCCCACAAATTGTGAGTGCAATGGGTACAATGCACAGACCCACAGACCCAATAGCCAAGCCACAAGCTGAGTTTACTCTTCTCCTCCCTACCTCTGGTTTATTTTTGGGCAATGAATGCGCCACACGCAACTCAAGAAATTTGTCACACACATAAAGAGTGAGAGAGAGAGAGAGAGAGAGAGAGAGGGAGAGGGGGCGGTCTCTTTTTCTTATGGATTATGTGAGTCTCTGGTATGCCAGTAGCTCGTTAAGCCAATCACCTGTGCATGCAGTGCACTCGCCATAACTATATTTAATTAAAATACCAAATATATTAACTAAATAAAATCCACTTTTTTCTTAGTACTTTTCCAAGATTTGCCTAACCCACAAAATATTTGCAAAATATAAAAACAATAATAGCGTAAATTCCGCTCATTATACGCGCTAATAATTCATTGGCTGAGTGAGTGAAAAAATAGAAATATAAATTCAAATTAATTATTACAAATTAACACAAAAAAATAGAAAAACAAAAAAACTTAGCGCACGCGTCCAGTGAATAAACATAAAATAAACAATCGCCGCAACAACAAAATCCACAAACTTATCACCTGAAGCTGTTTCGCGGCTTTTGCTGTTTGTTGGCCAATCAAACGAAACGTGCCAAGCGCAGATACAAATACAGACATAGACGCAACAACAGCAACAGCAACAGATACAGATACAGATACAAATACAGATACGAATAGTGATAAAGATACAGGCAATGTCTACATTTTGTGCTGACGCACATTGGACGCAAATGTCGTGGCCTTTCATTAGAATTTTAAGCTGCGGCCCCCTGCCGTCCCTGCCGTCCCTCCCACCGCTTCCATCGTCGGCGACCTCTTGATAATTAACAAAGATTGCCAGCTACCGCAGCTGCCGAACAGCTTAGCGAATTCATAATTGCTACTCCCCGGCGCTATTTGGAGTTATTGCTAGACAGGTCCAAAGTTTGGCGTTGTGCCAAAACAATTTACAGATCTTTAGCTGCGCTCATGCCCGCGTTCGAGCCTGAACTTGAGCCCGCTGCGGTGTGGTCAACGCACTGGCCGTATTCACTTTTACTACAAGAATTTGGACATCAACTCTCACTGTGCTCAAAATGACATGTCATGTGGATTCAACTACGCGCTGGCTACGTGCCACGGCCAGGTGAAACCGTAACCATGTCCAACACAATTTCAAATGATATGCCGTGCTCCAGCTGGGCAAGAGAAGAGAAATTTTAGAACTCTTTCTCAGACATCATTATAAGAGCTTGAAACTAATTGCGATTCGTTTTCATTGACCCAAAATTAGAGTATATTAATTATATATAAGTATATGTATATCTATCGAAAAAATCTGCATAAAAGTCCTCGCAACATTTTGGCATTTATGCCAAATGAAAAACCTTACGTCATAATTTTAAAACGGAGCTAAGCTGAGGCTAGTCAACCAGTTATAGTATTTTATATTTCATCTCCGACAGCTGACGACATTTTATAATTTATGCAGAGATCGCTAGAGTTATGGAACGCATTTGTCAACTAAAGTTCGTAGACCCATTTATCCATGCTATTCCATTATTATATTATTCCAGTCAAGTTCAGAGTTCAACAGCAATATCCATATAGATAATATATTCTAACATATGCGAGTGTTGATTAACTAATTTGAATGAAACTGTGATAATTGATATCTAACGACTAGTTGAGTAGGTGCAAACTTTTGCAGATTCTAATCTAGAATGAATTGTAATCAATACTGAGTGAGCTACAGAACCAGTTCCATATCATTTTTTGGCCAAACGACAACTACAGATTCATTTTTCATAATAATCCCCACATCTCGTCGAGAGTCTGCCAAGTTAATTTGATTATCACTTTTAGTAATGAAAGATTGAGTTCTTTAGAACACGTGATGAGAGCCAAATGAATACACACCGTTGCTCATTAGGCGAGGAAAGTGAGTAATAATCAGAATAACAACAACTTTGATTTGAATTCAATACGTGTTCGCAGATGGAGAAAAACAAAGGCAATTATTTGCAATGCATGTGCAAATTTGAGCTATTGTTCAATTTCCGCCTATTTTTAGTTTTTGGTTGACATAAGCTAATCGCTCCCGATGATGCGAGCTACCCTCGTGAGTTGTGCAATAATTTCAGTGTTTGCTTACAGCTGAAGATTCATCGATGGGACTCAGGCAGGCAAATCGTTTACCTGACCTCAAATGCTAAAAACAAAATATGCATTCATATTAAAGTCGAGCTCACAAATTACCACAAATTATATATATATTTTTTTTTGTAACTGGCTCGACTAATGCTAACGATTTGCATAAGCTCGAACGGAGAAGCGCCAGTTTGAAAAAAAAAAACCTGTGTGTAGCTGGCTTTCGACCTCATTTGCCATGGAATCGCGGCCGATGCTGGCTGGGGTATTTGGCCAAATGATCATCGCGAAAAGGCATCGGAAACCAGTTAAAGGTTAGGGCCAGCGCTTAGTAGGCCAACACTTGTAGCCAGCAGGTGTGTGCAGCAATTAGCTGCATGGAGCCAACGGAATCTCTGGCTGCAATTAAAACGCACCAGCTCAAACGGCAAGCGAACGTCAAGACTTAAATGCCGCTTAGCTGTTAAAACTGTTGACCTGGCCAACACGAACAACAGTTGTGCGTTGGAACAGGTGCCAACACCTAATGACGCCCTATGGGAATATTGCACATTGATCGCCGCTCGTTATATAAGAAACATGCCCCCATCCCATCCCATCCCATTGGGCCGGCTGCTGACCCACATTTCATATTCTGAACGTGCCTCTAACGCTAATGGCCCCAGAGTTGCGAATCGAGTGTGTTAAGACCGTTACGCTGAGTTCGTCCAAGCAGCTAAGAGATTAAACATTGTTTTTGCTGAGCACCTTGAGCGGTTCATATATTACTCATACGAGCACACAAAGGCGAAGAAGCCGACGCCTAAATGCCCTTGCAAAGGCAAGTGAACCATACAATGAAAACTATAAACCAATAAAACGATATGGAACTACAGAGAAAACAAATTGATAAGATTTTGTTTAATCAGAAGAAAGATAGAATTGCCAGACTTGGCTGAGTTTAGATAAACAATAAAAGCAAAGAGTAAATGAACTCGGCTGCTTATGTTAGTTATATGATATAGATATAAACTAACATAGCTGTATCGTAAATTCTAGTTTCATATTGACGTATTTTGTGTACAAGAACTCAGATAGAATAGCTAGAACTGGCAGACGTTAGATAAACAATTCTAGTTATTCGTAAATGAACTCAGCTTCTTATGTTAGTTATATGATATATATGTATATAAATTGTCGTATTGTTTGCGAATGTAGCAAAACATAGACTTGGCAGACTTTAGATAAACAACCGAATCAAATCAACGCCATATGATAGTTATATGATATAGATATAATACGAGTTTCTAGACTTTATATAAACAGTTCTAGTTAAGCGTAAATGAACTCAGCTTCTTGTGTTATATGATAAAAATGGTCATAGAAATATCATAAATTCATCTCGTATTGTTTGCGAAATATTGACGTTTTCGGTTTATAATAAATCCCATGACGATGGTAGCCAAAAACTTTTATCTGTCCATCTACATCATAAAAAAGTAAATCCCCTTTTATGTCTTCAAATTTAGTAACAACAACTAACTGAGTATAAATAAAATGCCTATAGAAATGTATTACAAAAAGTATTATAAAATATAATTAAATAATTACCAGGTAAATTGTTGTTGCGGCTATTGTTGCGTGTCTGCAAAGTAAACAAAAGAAAGAAAAATCATATTAAAATATTTATATATTTTCTATTTATTTATATTTTTTTTTTTTTGTGCTCTGTTCGCTCTTTTACATCGATAGACATTGGCATTAAAACATGCATTTTTTTGTATTATTATTAATAATAGCAATAAAAGTGTTTCATACGCGTCTTAAATATACTAAATGTTCGCATTGATGCTGCGGGCCGCTTTCACGAAATAGAAAATGAAAACACGTTGAGCTGAAATATTTCTACAATATCTGCAATTGGGTGAAGATTTATGGAAAATGAAAAAAAAAAATAAATAAACAACGGCCATGGCACAGCTTGATGTTTTCGAAATCGGATAACAAATAAAACCAAGACTTGATCAAAATCAGCTGTGAGCAATTCAATTGGACGACTCGCCAGATGCGTCACAGCAGCCCCACATAAACACAAGATGTACATATGTAGGTTGATTCTTCAGCCTCTTTTTTGCTGTTGTTGTATTTTTATTTCTTGCTGCTGCCTGACCATCGAGGCGTCGCGTCGAGACATGAATCAAGCAATTGTCTGAGCTTTTATTGCGGCTCGCAGAAGAGATACAAATTCGTAACGCACTCGAGATACATTCTGGCAAGTATTTTTATGTTGTGGGCTTGGTAATTGGCTGGGCCAACAGCCGAGAGAAACGGGTTAGTAGCCGGCCCAGGTGAGTGTCAATGGCTGCGCTTAAGCTCCGGCCTCTCATGCAAAGCGCATATCTGTCAGATAAATACATACATGTATAAATGGGCCCCCAGTAAACTTGACTAATTGTTTGCGCCATGGCCGTGTCGGCTGCTGCGGCGTTTTGGCCAATATATCTACACGCAACAGAAAGTCAGAGAGACAGTCAGACAGCCAGACAGTCAGCACTAAAAGTCATTTTGGAAAGTTCTGGGCCTGACCTTATTTCCCTTAAGCACAGCACCCAGCGCACTCCATAAGCTCCATTCGGAGCAGGCGACGATGACGATGCTTGGTAAATAAAGCAAAGTGTGGCTAATAAGCTACCGCAACAGAACAAAACAAAACAAAAACATCAGCAACTACAACAACAACAACAACAACAACAACACTATGATACCGCACTTTGCCACTCTCTTGCGGCAATTGTGTAAACAGCAACTAAAAAATAAAATACAAACTAGGCAAAGGCACTTTGCGCACACAGTTAGTCAGCCAGTCTATATACTCACAGTAGTCAGTTCGTAAAGCGCCATAACATTCAGGTTAATATGCATATGTTTTACACACTCCACAGAGACTGATTCAAGTGTAAGTGAAAAAAAAAACGAGAAAAAAACCCATTAAGCACGTTAAAGTCTGCGGCGCATGCGACGCCATAATACTCGCTCACGATCATAAAGTTAATAAATAATTGATATTTTTACGATTCGCCATATAATTAATTTATCTATCTGTAAGGCAGGCCAAGTCTCGATATTAGTCGGTGCTATCTTATATAGTATAATATATCATATATAAAATATCATTCGCCAGAGACAATATCGAATAAATAAAAAATAGGAGGATAGCAAAGCAAATATTAGCTTTTCGCTTAGTGAGCGAGTATTAAAATGAATTAAAATATTCAAATAAATAATAAAACAAATTAAATAAAATCAAAATAAATTTTTAAAAATATTTCTAGTATTTATTCAAATTAATTTCGAATCAATTATTCATTATTTACCAGAAAAACTTAATCATCATTTGTTGTGTATTAATAAAGAATCAAAGTGAAATGCGTAAAATCTGATTAAAACATTATACCCAGATTTCCCATTTTCCCATATAAAAAGTAATTCCAGCATACTTTGCATAGGAATTCTCACAACAGAAATATAGAAATTTTCTATATAAATTCCAGTCAACAGATTTTCAATTGGCTTTTGGTTTCATTTTCAATAATAAATAAACAATGTGATTCCTTTGAACTGTGCCAGACAGACAAAACGTGGTAAAGATGATTTTAAAATAAATATTATTCAATTCGAGTGGAGCTTTTGTTCAGGCCGATGGGTGCGTCGCTCGAGCCAGAAGGCGAATCATCAGTATTTATGCATAATTTTCGAATACTCGTGAGTGCATTGATTCACGAAACTCACTCAGAAAACATGTTATAAACCCAAGAGCTCAATCAAGTTTATTAGCATATCTGGCAAGAATTCTATTCAAATGCGACAAATTGTTGAGAAAGTCGCGTGACGAAGACTAAATACCCTAACACGGCATACGGGATGGATAGATTTTAGCATGCCAATCAGCGTAACTGTAGCTAATAAACAAATATTCATAACTAATTGAAATCCAAATGTTAGTTCATTCTTCATATCCTCTCTCTCTCTCTCTCTCCCTCTCTCTCTCTCTCCCTCTCTGCAGAGTATATTTAAAAGTGAAGCTTACAAAGAATTTCATTCACTCTCGAGTGTTTAGCGTAGGCTGTACCTGTAGCTACTTACACTCGTTTGTATCTGTCTCTGTCTTTGTATCTGTATCTGTTTATGTATCTACGCATAACTTTCAGCTGGCTAGTTGGCTGTCTGACTGCTCCAGCAAATGGCTCGTTGATAATTTATATGTGTCGTCCGGCCCCCACAATCAAGTTACCAGCTCGCCTTTGTTTCTACACGCATTTTTATAGATAAACTGAGCACGGAGCACGAAGCACTAAGAACTGGGGAACTGGGAACACCACCAGCAAAGAGCAGCCAATTCAGTACGCTTTATTTCCGTTCGAGTTGCCCACATCTTTTGATTTTTGGTTTAGAACCAGGTTCGGTCTGTGTGTGTTTGTGTCTGTGTTTGTGTGTATCTGGCTGGCTTTACAGGCCACCTCACAATCTTACATATGTAATTGCAATTGCTGAGCGACTCACGACGCGACTTCGAGTCGCGCACCTTTTAATTTGTGCGGCATTCCGCAGCGCTCCCCTCTGCAGTGCCTTATTTTAATGTTGTGTAAAGTTCTAAGACCCCGACGTGAGCGCAACGGAAGTGCGTTCATTATTTTTAATGATTTTATTTAAGGAGTCGGAGCCACCGTCGAGTGAGTCCAACGAGCCTCGACTAACTACCTGCCACTACCTGCTGCTACACCATGTCCCAAGGTTCCTTTGCCCGCCGCATTTGAATAGTTTTCCCAGGACAGGACAATCTTGGCACGCAAGCGGTCTATCCAGATGCTCAGCTCGGCATGTGGTGGGTTTTTCGTTTTGGGTTTTCTGTTATTTTTAGTGGACAGGAAATCGCATGGGTGTTATTCCTAGGGAACTCTCAGCCCCGGGGGCAATTAGTGAGTGCGAGTCATCCAGCCATCGATGACTGTTGGCCATTTATGCAAAGTATTTCCCAGATAAGAATGGGCACTCCGACACGATTTGGACGTAAACAAAGCAGTCGATGACTGTAAACAGATTAACTATTTGTAGACATATGACTTCATTGATCCAACAATTGCTCATGATAGCAGGTAGTTAGAATTTAGGTTTATCTGCAGTCAAGTCTCGCTCTATCTCGCTCTTTGTTGACCCAGCCATGCCCTCGGCTCGGATCAATTGAGAGCCCTTAAGCCAAGCCGCAAATTGAGTTTTCTATAATTAAAAGCGGTGTACCCACTGCAACTGCATATTGGCAATTAGCAGCGACTTGCGAGACTTGAGCTAATTTTAATAATTGAATGCAATGGAAAAGTCTACAAGTTGACGCTGGGGTCTACGGAACTGCGCTCTAGCTACGTACGTATGTGCATACGTCAGCGTCTATATGAATTATATTTTGATGCATATTTGCGGCATCGCACATTGACATTCAGTCCGGCTGTCAGTCAACTTTGACCGCAGCAAATGCACAAGCCGGATAACAATTGTTGAGTTCAACGCGATGCGCATGAACGTCCCTGACTGCCAAGTGCCCAATTGTGGTGCTCGGTGGGGTTGGGCGGGGCCATCCATATGCTGCACTGCACTGCACTGCACTGCGCTGAGTCGGGCTGGGCTGGGCTGGGCTGCCAAGCCACTCGCAATTATAAACACAAACAAAACAACACAGCTACAAAACGTTGCATGACAAGACAACAACAACAGCAGCAGCAGCAGCAGCAGCAACAACAATTGACAGTTGCATGTTTGCAGTTTTATTTCTTGAGATTTTTTTTATAATTCCGCTGACGTTTGACTCACGATATGGCCGAGAGCGCGCTTTGGAGAGCTCGCCAGCTGTATGAAGAGATCAGCTACTGGGACTTGATTGTTATGCATCGATTTACATATACAGAAAGCCGCAGCTCAGACTGATAGATGGATAGACAAAAGTCATTCAGTCAGTGATCATCATCATGAGCAGCAGCATCATCATCATCATCATCGAGTTAGCTGCTTCTTCATTTGAATCAATTAAACCTGATGCTGTGTATGCATGGGTGTGGTGTGTGTGTGTGTCTGTGTGTGTGTGTCTGTGTGTGCGAGTCAAGCCATATTCATAATCGTATTCATAGTCGTATTCGTATTCGTTTTTGTTTTCGTTTTTGAGTCCCCAGCTACTGCTGCAGTTGATTGATCATTGACTGTAAGCCGCGCCTAAAGTCACAAAATTCCATGAATTTTATTATAAAATCAGCTTTTCATAAAGGTCTACGATGTCTACTCCACACACACACACACACTCACTCACACAAAACTCAACATCAAAGGTCAAAAACACCGCACACAAGAGAGACCATGTGAAACCAGTTCAACTCCAACTTTAATCCGAATGCACTCCAATTTCGATTTCAGTTTTCATTCAGCCTGCAGGTTCTTCTAATTCCTGGATAGGGCCTTTTCTGGATTTGTGCGGAGTGGTTGGGCTATGTGTGTTATGTGTTAATACGTCAGCTGAAACAGGTCTGGGCTCGGCTTAGAATTGTTTGGCTGTCTAGACCTCCGGAATTAACGGCCATTTTGATATTTAAGATAATGCTCTAA